TTTTTTTTTTTTTTTTTTTTCCCAAGACCCTGGGTTGATAGAACATGTTTTTTTTTTCTTTCAATATTGCGTAATTAGTATTTACTATTTAGTATTTACTATTTGCGACATTGCAGTTGACTTGTGTCGGTCGTCAATGGTGTGGGGGATGAGGAGAGGGCTGGAGAAAATCATTGCTGCCATTCCTTTTGAAGTTATGATCTGTCATCGTTTTTTTTTTTTTTTTTTTTTTTTTTTTTAAGCTATATTCTTTTCTCAAGAGACCTTCCACTACCTACCCAACTGTGAATGATACACACCTTGATCTACCCTCTGGCGGGGTTATGGGTTGAGCCTATCCCCCCAGGGTTGAGCCTAACTCCTGGCAACAGGTGGCATTCCCCACCAACCAGCCAGGAGGGACAAGCTGACTATCTCAGCTGGCGAATGCGCAGCACGCCTCAGGAGGTGTGGGGGCTCGATTGGGGACTGGGGGGAATCGAACCCATGACCTCCTGAATTCCACTTTCGTGCTCTACCAATTTGAGCCAGACCGATCGGCCCTGTCATCATTTGTTCTGATCATACTGGCGCCCTTTCCATTATCATGGTCTCGTAAGGGCCCAGGCTTTCCACCCCGGTCTCATTCCGTAGGTTTCTTTTTGTGTGTTTTTTTGTTTTCCCTTAGTTTTTGAGTTCTGACAACGCTCTTGCAGAACTTAACACCTGACAACACTCTTGCAGAACTTAACAGTGCCCTGTCTCATCTTTTTTTTTTTTTCTCGAGTGAAGCCGCAATAGGTACCCTTGTTTTTGACTAAATATTGCAGTGGTAATGGACAGATACATCCATTAAGCGGGCCTCCCGAGACTGAAGTTACAAAAAACAAAACAAAAAAAGGATATTTTCGGGCGAGCCCAATCGTCAGCATGCCCTTACTTGGCCTCCTCTTAGTCTGCTTCTTTATGTTGCCCACACTTTGGGGAGGCTTTCGTGGTCGGTGGTGATTCAAGTGATGCCGGCAATCTGACACTTAGAATTGCAAGGAAAATGAGCGATAGCGAACTTCAGCAATCAATCAGCATGATACACATAAGACCAGATAGTCGTGACCTCGAACCAAGAGCAGAATTGCATCACGACTTTCACCAAATAAGAACACACTAAGAGCTCATAATTGACAATGCTGAAATAGTCTCATCATCATCATCAACGAAGAACCAATGTTGATATCCTATCTGGCGCTCGGCTCCCAGACTACAGATGGCAGATCCTATCTAGCCTAGACTACAATGCCGAAGATGACGACAACAGCTTTCCCGAGGTACGAGCCGATAGCGGCCAATGCCGCATGCTTCCAGCACCAGGTATGTCTCTCGCTTCACTCACAACCTCGTTCCCCAACGCACAGATGCCACATGCACCCAAGGACCACCATGCGCCACACCCAGCCTACAGCAGCGCAGCTTGGCTATGGCTGCCTGCTCCTTCCAGCTCGCCCGTGAGCGCGAGCGCCAGCCAGCTTCAGCGCAGCAGCGCTTGCGCAACATGCAGCCAGCACCCGAATGTCCAAAGCGTGGGCTGGCCCTTCCCTGTATGGAAATGGCCAGCCTGCGTGCGTGCAGCCTGGCCGTGCTGGGCCTCGGCCCAGAAGCTTCCGGTAGGCCCAGGGCCACCAACAGTTACTTGTGCCCAACTACCCACAGTCTGAGTTGGGCCTATGCTGCGAATCTCGCCCAGGGCCTGACTCAGATGCATGTGATAAAGGAGATCAGGGCCTGGGCTCTTCCAACCAACTGGCGCTGCGCAACTGCCTGCATTTTCTCCAGTTGCGAAGTAGTCCAAAATAGGCCTCTTAGGGTCCGTCGGGCCTGCCTTCACTTAGGGCGGCCTACGCTGTTGCAAATAGGGGCCCAGTAGGGCATATCGAGGCCTTTGCCTCGCAGAATCATCTACATTGAAAAAAATAAAAAATAAAAAATCCTCTACACTGAGGGAGCGTTTCCCTGTTTCTTTATGAAGGAGATGAATGTGTTTTCTTGTGAGATTATCATAATTTCTTTGGTTCGGTTGGTGATGCGTATTCTTGTGAGATGGTCATAATTTCCTCGGTTTGGTCGGTGATGTTGAAATGAAGGAGACTGTCTTTCGAAAGGAGGTGGGTCCGTTTATAGGTGCATGAATTGTGCTCATGATGATGACCATATGCATCGTGAGAATGTGTATGGAGCTTCGAAGAAGCAGCGACTGCCAAAATCCACTCTGCGAGGCTCATAGTGCGATCTCCACTGTCTAATTCCATCTGCCATCCTTCTTAGGCGACTAAGAGGTTATCTTTTGCAACATTGAAATGATGGCATGGTCCGGTGGGCAGTCATTTCTGGAGAAGGCAACGGTTTTGTGAATTATTTGAAGTCCACTGTCTTCGGCCAAATACGCTGTATGTGCCCTTGATCATGAATGTATGCAAGCTATCTTTCCAGTCCGATATGGCGATGGAGGTATGTTGTGTTGGGGGGAAGACCGTAATGGTGAGTGTCTGTGTGCTGTGGAGATCACCAGGAGCATTCAGTCTCAAGTGTCGCAGGCTCAGAGCTTACCTCGAGGGACGGGCAATGAACCGTATCAGTTCCCCCTATCTTCCCCCCTGGGCCTCTCAACCCACCACCTTCTTACCAGTACACACATACCTAGGTAGAGATAAGGCCCTGTTTGTGTATGCTGATTCCTCACCTTTGATTTCAGGGGGGCACGGTAGGGTGATTTACAGTATCAGCTACGCTGCTACAGGGTAAAAGAGATTCTTGTCTTTCAGTGAGAAAGAAAGAAAGAAAGGCATTGCTCATCCCCGTTGAGGCGGGATGCCATCAGGTAAGTTGTGCATCTTGCAAAGAGGTGACGTCCTGTGCAAGCAACTGGTGCCATCCTCTGGGTAATGAAAAATGTGACATCCTTTGCGAGCAACTGGTGCCATCCTCTGGGTAATGAAACATGATCTTTTTTTTTTTTTTTTTTTTTTTTTTTTTGCACTTTACTTTTTCTTTCTTAAAGGGCAGCAGCCTTGAGATATAATCCTCTGGACAGACCAGCCCCAGGCAATTCAGAATTGCTGGCTTACTCATTTGCTTCCACTGGGGTTGGAACTCAGGTCTGTATTTCAACAGTCGATGGGTATACTGACTGAGAAAGGTCAGCAAGTGCTTTTCTTTACCAGCAGGCGAGGTTAAATTTGTAGTCCTTAACCTGAACCCTGAGTGTGATCCCTGAGCCCTAACCCTTAGTGTGACCCTGACGATGGACCGTGAACGGTTAGCCTCAACCCTGAGTCGGAACCCTGAGCCTCAACCCTGAGTCTGAACCTTCAGCCTGAACCCTTTGGCCCAAGTCTGAACCTTGAGCTTGAACTCTCAGCCTGAACTCAACCCTGGACCTGATCGCCAAGCCTGAACCCTGATCCCGGGCCCTGAGTGTGCGCCCTACCGGGAGCCTCAACCCTGAGTCTGAACCCTGAGGTCTCTATTTCAACAGTTCATGGGCGTACTTACTGAGGAAGGCCAGCAAGTGCTTTTCTTTACCAGCACGTGAGGTTGAGTTTGTAGCCCTTAACCTGAACCCTGACCGTGAACCCTGAGCGTGATCCCTGAGCCTGAACCCTTAGTGTGGACCCTGACTCTGGACCGTGAACGGTTAGCCTCAACCCTGAGTCTGAACCCTGAGCCTCAACCTTGAGCTTGAACTCTCAGCCTGATAAAAAACTAACCCTGGACCTGATCGCCGAGCCTGAACCCTGATCCCGGACCCTGAGTCTGCACCCTACCGGGAGCCTCAACCCCGAGCCTGAACCCTGAGCCCCAAGTCTGAAGCTTGAGCTTGAGCTTTAACTCTCAGCTTTAACTCAGCCCTGCACCTGATCACTGAGCTTGAACCCTGATCCTGGACCCTGAGTCTGAACCCTGAGCCTGACCCCCAAATATGAAAAATAAGCCTGAACTCTGATTCTGGACGCTGAGCCTGAGCTGAATCCTGAGCGTGATTGCAGACCCTGACCATAGTTCTAAGTCGGAGCTCTCATCCTTGGCCTTAAATTTTATGATCTTAAACCCGAAACCCCGAGAAAGTTGTCATTCGTTTACGGTCTGACAATAGAATAGAATTGTTAAGTCAGTGGTTCCGTCTTTGTCATTGTTTTACGGTCTGGTAATGGAATTGTAAGTGAGTCGTTCCCTTGCGTGCATGTCTTGCATCTCAATCTCCGTTCTTTTTTTTTTTTTTTTTTAATTAAAGAAGTGCCTGCAAGGAATATGACATGAACGTTATACGGAAAACCAAGTTGCAAAATCACACAGATGTCCAAGCAGTCGTGTACAAGCACAGAGCACAATTGCACCGCGAATCCATTCAAATAGAGCGCAATACAATGAAGTAACGAGCCAATGTTCAAGCCCTCAGGCCACACCAACACAGTATCCAAAGTCGCTCCTCTCTGTCTGGCACCCAGCGCCTGGCATACTCTACTCGACTATCCTACCTACAGCTGTGTTCACACACCAGCCTCACTTCAACTCTCGAAGACCAGTGTACATGATGTCAACACCATAGCCGACCTCTCTTCATGCACCAGGTACGTACCTCGTCACCCTTGTCAGACTTTGATAACCCACACACGCGCCTCCTTCCCTGAAGACCACCAGATCGCCCTCTTACCCCCTAGCGCCCAGCAGCCCGGCTATGGCGGCCAGAGATCCACTGCCCTGCAGCGCACCACTTCACCTCAATGTGCTCCGCCAGCACTCTGCCCTTAGCGCAGCGTCCAGTGCAGCAGCGCAGCAGCGTGACCGCATTGCCCGCGTAGGCCCCCCATCCCCGCCTGGGCTGCCTCTCGTCCTGTATGGAAGTGGCAGCCTCCTGGATGCTGCGTGTGGCCTGGCTGGAAGCTTCCAGTAGCTTCCTGTTGGGCCCCAGTTCCTGCGCCCAGGCCAGACACTACAGTTGAGGGCCTGGGCCCCTTACAGTTGGGCACGGCCTGAGTCTCCGGACTTGGGCCGTTGCTGCATTTGCACAGAACCCTGGGCTAGGTACGTCGACAGTACTGCTTCTGCATAGGCCGGTGGCCACTTCATGATGTATCGGCCCTGCTTTGTGTGTATGTGCCCAGGCGCAACTGCCAAGGCCTGGGCCAACTGTACGACGCAGCGTAGTGAGGCTCGCGCGTCCATTCAACCAACTGGCGGGCTGCAACAGCCTGAATACCCATATATGAAAATGTTGAATTTCGGTCTCTGTCACTCTGATGAATATCCAGGCCCGCCTTCACTTAGGGCAGGCACTCGGCTTGCTGGGCCCTCTGCCCGGGACATGTGAATRTCTGATAGGGGTCCCATGAGGGCTTGTTCCTCTCATGGCTGTATGCATTCCCAAAAAAACATTTTTTTTGAGGCCAGGGATCTCACAATTCAAATCTCTATCGTCATTCTGTTTATCATCATGAATCGCACTCACCCCAACATTATATGGTCATGTATGAAGTACGATGAACGTTGAACGATGGGTTTCACTGATGTGTTGTTTTGTTGCGACGTTTCTTGGTCTGTTCATCGAATTCACAGCGCGTCACAACATCTTCTTTCAGCCTTTTCGCAACGGAGGAGAAGCTTAAGGAGGTTGAGGTCTTCTTCAAGGCCAATCCAGTTCCCGAGGCAAGCATGGAAATTTCTCGAACCATGGAAACCATCCGATCTCGGGTCTTCTGGTGGAACCGTGCTCAAGGAGAAATCATTTCCTGGCTTCAGGGACACAGCTGAAGTACTAGCTGCATTCAAGTGCGTGGTAATTGCCTTTCAGGCTTCAGCCATATTCCTTCCTTATAACAACATCGTCGTTTTTCAAATTTTCCGTCCGTGTAACAACACCGTCGCTTAGTTCCGTTTCTTCATCTCAAGATTCTCAACAGATCATTCTCATATATCATCTCTCTCTCTCTCAATCTCTTTCTGCTCGTCATGTTCTCCCTCTGCGACATAGCAGCACATGTTATACCTTTTCGTCGATTGTGCTGTGGTTTTAGACGTTGCGGGAGAGGGAAGGCTCGCATAGTGGATGTCTGGCGGTGAAAGTTGCAAGCAAAAAGTGATATGCTCCCTAGGGAAGGGTGCTAGACTTCTAACCAACCATATTCTAGCCACTGTTGTATTCTTGACACAAATTCTAGGAGATTTTGTAAGGAGTATACATACCTAAGTCAACACAAACATGTTTTTGAGAGAGAGAGAGAGAGAGAGAGAGAGAGAGGAAACAGATAGATACGACAGTGACACAAACACAAAGAGAAGTACCAACTTCTCTTTTAAGCATGGTGTGTGATATTTTGTGCTTGAACATTTGATTTGCAGGATGGAGGCAGTCACTGAGTGTAATGAGCTGTCACAGTGAGGGCTGGATTCTATACATGAGAGAGAGAGAGGCTTGTGTGTGTGTGTGTGTGTGTGTGTGTGTGAGAGAGAGAGAGAGAGAGAGAGAGAGAGAGAGAGAGAGNGAGAGAGAGAGAGAGAGAGAGAGAGAGAGAGAGAGAGAGAGAGAGAGAGAGAGAGAGAGAGAGAGAGAGGCATGGTTGAGTCATAATGTGTGCCTGTCCGCATCTGTGTGTGTGTGTGTTTTAATTTTCACCACAACAGCCCCTATTCCACCCAGGTGACTAGATCCAAAATCAAAGCAGTTTTACCTGTATTATGCAGCACACCTGAGATGAGTCAATCCAACGATGAAACAGTCTTACCTCRATAGCAAGCAACATGGAGCACAGTAGATCCATCATATTCCTTCTTAAGTATTCCTTACTTCAGTTTTCTTTGGGGCACCACTTTTATTTGTGCTTGCAGCTCCCCTTTTACTGTGCCTCTCAGTTACAAGGCTGGCCATGTTGATTGTGGTTGTTCACCAGCTGCCCATATCCCTGTGGGCCTTGTGGGGGGGGGGGGGATGATGTGTATTTACTATATACTCCCGAGCTCCATAGCTTCACATCAGAAAAATTACTCATCCGCCAGGGAAACAAAAGCTTGCATGAAAATAAGATGGAAGTTCATCAAACTCACCAGAAGGGATCATATAGAGAACCTGCCACAAAAAAAGAGTCACAGGCCATGCCTACTGGATGGAAAGCTTGGCTGCATCGGGCAAAAGGATGCATTGTTTTCCGTCTGTGCTGGTTCTTCCCTTTTTGCCGTGCTGCAGACCTACCTATGTTGTATGTGTGTGTGTGTGTATGTATGTGTGATGCTGTGCGTATGTATGTGTGATGATGTGTGCATGTATGTGTGTGTGTGTATGCGTGTGTGTATGATCTCGGTAGCTGTGCTGTGTCCAACGGGGTGAGAGTCACTGACAGGGGCTTTCACATGGTGATTTTTTTTATTTTTATTTTTCTAAACCACCACTACCTGCAGCACGACTGGCACCGAAAAGGCTCCACGAAGTCGGGAGGCCTGTAAAGCACCATGCCGGCGATGGATTTTACCGTCGGCGGGCGCAGCCTCCTGACACTTCAGGTAGTAGGCTACTTGAAATTCGGAGGCCTGCAGGTAGTGGTGGTTTAATAGGATAGGCGCCATTATGCCGATAATATGGATATGGATATACAATTATACATTGTTGGGGAACTCTGACAAATTCTGTCATTTGACTCATTTTCTGATGTGGCATGATCATTCATCATTTGTGTGTTATGGAAAACAGCTATGTCCTGACAGCAATCGCTAGCAACCGATTTGGTCGCGACATCGGTTGGAAACTTCTTCAAGAGAACTGGCCTACTCTATATGAGCGCTTCCGCCAGTCACAGCTTGTGATTCAGGTACCATCTCGTCTGGTCTCTTCTGTGACCCTCTGAAGCTGTGAGGCTTGTCTTATCATATGTATGATATAAAAAAAAGAAAATCGTTTTTAGCCAGCGTGTCTTTTTTCTGCGTTGACACTCGGGACTTGGTATCTGTGTAGGGTTCCATGTGGGCCTTGGGACATGTGTTGGCATCCTTGGATCCAAAGTTGGCCCATTCTTAACCATTTCTTGCTGCCCCTTCATGATCTTTACGCTCGACCCATCCTTGGATCCAAAGTTGGCCCATTCTTAACCATTTCTTGCTTCCTGTTGGGCCCCAGTTCCTGCGCCCAGGCCAGAGACTACAGTTGAGGGCCTGGGCCCTTTACAGTTGGGCACGGCCTGAGTCTCCGGACTTGGGCCGTTGCTGCATTTGCACAGAACCCTGGGCTAGGTACGTCGACAGTACTGCTTTTGCATAGGCCGGTGGCCACTTCATGATGTATCGGCCCTGCTTTGTGTGTATGTGCCCAGGCGCAACTGCCAAGGCCTGGGCCAACTGTACGATGCAGCGTAGTGAGGCTCGCGCGTCCATTCAACCAACTGGCGGGCTGCAACAGCCTGAATACCCATATATGAAAATGTTGAATTTCGGTCTCTGTCACTCTGATGAATATCCAGGCCCGCCTTCACTTAGGGCAGGCACTCGGCTTGCTGGGCCCTCTGCCCGGGACATGTGAATRTCTGATAGGGGTCCCATGAGGGCTTGTTCCTCTCATGGCTGTATGCATTCCCAAAAAAACATTTTTTTTGAGGCCAGGGATCTCACAATTCAAATCTCTATCGTCATTCTGTTTATCATCATGAATCGCACTCACCCCAACATTATATGGTCATGTATGAAGTACGATGAACGTTGAACGATGGGTTTCACTGATGTGTTGTTTTGTTGCGACGTTTCTTGGTCTGTTCATCGAATTCACAGCGCGTCACAACATCTTCTTTCAGCCTTTTCGCAACGGAGGAGAAGCTTAAGGAGGTTGAGGTCTTCTTCAAGGCCAATCCAGTTCCCGAGGCAAGCATGGAAATTTCTCGAACCATGGAAACCATCCGATCTCGGGTCTTCTGGTGGAACCGTGCTCAAGGAGAAATCATTTCCTGGCTTCAGGGACACAGCTGAAGTACTAGCTGCATTCAAGTGCGTGGTAATTGCCTTTCAGGCTTCAGCCATATTCCTTCCTTATAACAACATCGTCGTTTTTCAAATTTTCCGTCCGTGTAACAACACCGTCGCTTAGTTCCGTTTCTTCATCTCAAGATTCTCAACAGATCATTCTCATATATCATCTCTCTCTCTCTCAATCTCTTTCTGCTCGTCATGTTCTCCCTCTGCGACATAGCAGCACATGTTATACCTTTTCGTCGATTGTGCTGTGGTTTTAGACGTTGCGGGAGAGGGAAGGCTCGCATAGTGGATGTCTGGCGGTGAAAGTTGCAAGCAAAAAGTGATATGCTCCCTAGGGAAGGGTGCTAGACTTCTAACCAACCATATTCTAGCCACTGTTGTATTCTTGACACAAATTCTAGGAGATTTTGTAAGGAGTATACATACCTAAGTCAACACAAACATGTTTTTGAGAGAGAGAGAGAGAGAGAGAGAGAGAGAGGAAACAGATAGATACGACAGTGACACAAACACAAAGAGAAGTACCAACTTCTCTTTTAAGCATGGTGTGTGATATTTTGTGCTTGAACATTTGATTTGCAGGATGGAGGCAGTCACTGAGTGTAATGAGCTGTCACAGTGAGGGCTGGATTCTATACATGAGAGAGAGAGAGGCTTGTGTGTGTGTGTGTGTGTGTGTGTGTGTGAGAGAGAGAGAGAGAGAGAGAGAGAGAGAGAGAGAGAG